CGCCTCCGGGACCTGCGGGTCGCGCGTGAGGTAAGGGACGTCGTAGGTCCCCACCGCGGGCACTGGGGCGAGCGAAGCGCGGGTGCAGACTGCACACACTCTACCCTTCGCGGAGCTTGGGGGCGCACGAGCGGCCTCTGGGGTCCTGGGAGGGCACTAGGGAACCAGGTCGCGGGGACTTGGGTCTGGGTGACTTTGCGCCGCACAGGGTCAGGAGGGGTCATGGGGTATCCTCGGCTGACTTCTGGGGGCGCAGGCGCGGAGGCTGGGGAGCAGGTGCGCGTGGGGTGGGCAGGTGGGGATCTTGGCGGAGGTCCTCTGCGGCCGCCCGCGGGGCATCCAGACCCTGCGGGGAGCCGCGAGGTCGTAGATGGGACGGGAGGAGCCTGGGCTCCTGCCGGGATGGACGGGCCACTTTCCCACTGGGGCGCCCCTCCCCTCTGGGCTCGGCCTCCACCCTTGGCCTCGGCTCCCACCCGCGATGGCGCGCCCTGGACGCGGAGGACGGCGGAGCTTGCGAAGGTCAGCTTGAAAGCCTGTGATATGTGGCCAAAAAATACAGGGTGAGTTTGGCCCCAGGGCCCCAAAGGTCCTGTCTTCTGAGCTCTCAATCCCCGGGTCGTCTTAGCCCTGAAGAGGCAGCGCAAGGCCCGCACCCCGGTAGCCCTGAGCCCGGTGGTCTGTTCTGGCGGGGGTCTGGGAGCAGTGGTGTTTCTTAGGAACATGCTGCAATCAACAATCAATGGGGAAACTTAAGAGCGTTCCTCTACCAACAGGACTTTGCAAAACACTGAAGCAAAAATAAACACTTGGCAACACTCAGGAATTAAGAATAATAGCATATTAATGCAATATGTTTAAGAAACTGTAAAAAATCCATGATAAACAATATCAACATTTTAAATAAAGATAGGTTGCTGTTTTGCACCTGCATTATTGTGTGATGGGAGCTGTCCTTTCCAAACCCCTCCCCATTTGTCTGGTCCACCACTCCGTGGTTTATGAGGTTGACAGTGGCATGCAACAGATTGGGCAACTTGGGCTTTGTACACAGTCGTGTTTATTTTTGCAGAGCTTTCCGGACTTTTCCCCCAGTTCAGTCGTGGGAGGAAGTGTACATAGGAGTGATCTGTCTCAGGGACACTTGGGCATCCCCCGTGTTTTCACCCCGGTAGGGGACATCACCAGCTACCACTTGGGGAGAGTCTGGGACCAGAGGGGCCTTTACTTCCAAGACTTACTAAGAAGGCCCTCCATCCCCCCTTTTTGGGTTTAGGGATGTGCTTTCTGTCCAGGAAAATCATGCTGAGACCAGAACCTCCCTTGTCCAGAGACTCTCTGGTGAGGAGATATCAGAGTGAAAAGGAGACCTAACTTCTCGATAATAATCTTGCTTGTGGGTGAGGAGACAGCAGCTGGGGGTGGGGTGTAGGGGTCACTGGGCTGCAGCCCTGCTGACTAGCTTCAGAACAGCCTCCAGGCAAATCGGGTGGAGTGAGCAGGAGTACCAAAGTGTGTGTTAGGTGGCAGTTATTCTAAAGAATTGCCAGGTTTACAGTGGTCTGATATGTTAGGAAAATGTTCCTAGTAAGCTGGATTTTTACAGCAGGACTTTTCAGAACCTTTAGTATAATGTGCCCTGGGACTGTAGGATGACACCACAGTGTGTGACATTTGCCAGCTTCTCTGGCCACAGCACACTCTTTCTTATGAAACATCTTCTGGATCCAGCATTCCACGGAGTCCACTTGGGGAAATGTTGCTTACCTCACCCAGAATACTTCTGCCAGCGAGGTTGGTTCCAAGAAATGTGGATCCCAGAGTTCACAGTGCTCAGGATGTGGAAATGTAGGTTCTGGATGATAACCCGCCTTTGTAAAATTATGTTCCTTTTGGGGAATAGCTACATGTGTAGGTTGCATCTGAATTATTTTCCATCCTTTTCCCCTTCTTCCCAGCCCCCCATTCCCTTCCCTATATCCCAAAATTGGCCCCCTGTTTTCCTAGTATCTCTTCATTTTATTCTTTAATTCATTTATATTTTAAATTTCTCATATAGGAAGCCATGTGATAACTAACTTTCTGTGTCTGACTTATTTCACTACTATTATAGTCTCAAGATCTATCCATTTTCCTGCATATGACATGATTTTATTCTTCTTTATAGTTGCACATTGAGATTGCATTTTACTCTGGTCAGAGTGGCATTCATCAGGGACACAAAAAACAAATGCTGGTGAGAATGTGGGGAATAGGAACCCTGTATGTACATTGTTAGTGGGAGTGTAAAATACTACAACTATTATAGACAGCTAAGTTAGGTAGAAATATTATAGGCAGTCAGACAGGGCTGGACTCTCAAAGGAGTCAGTGCAGAGAATGAGAACATATTACAGCTGGCTAGAGGGCCTCCTTTGAAGGCCAGGCCTCAAGAAAAAGAAGAATGACCAGGCCTACATGCCTCCCCAAGAGATAAGCAATAAACTAAAGATTATACTATAATTGGTATGAAGTGGTCCTATAAAGATAGACATCAGTCACCCAGGTGGATGACAGGGACCTCCTGATCCATCCCTTCCTAAAAAGGTCTTTGTTCTTTCCATGTATACTTGCTACTCGACCTGCTTCCCTATTGCATCAATATCACTTGTAATTGGTTGATCATAGTTTTGATTCACACTGTACCCACCTCGTGATTTTGCTCTGTAAAACTTCCTTTGAGCAGTGAGCTTGTTGGCAACCCTCTTTTGGGCTCCCTCCTGTCTCGCAATAAATTTTTCCTATTCCTAACCTCTATTGTCCCTTAGAATTCATTCTTCAACTTGGGAAACACATACTAGGCATGTCTGATATCTAGCACAACCACTATAAAAACCAGTATGGAGGTGCCTCCACAAACTAAGAATAGAAATTCCATTTGACCTGGCTATCCCTCTCCTGTGCCTCTTCAGGAAAGAGTTAAAGGCATCATATCGTAGTGATCCGTGCACACCCATTGTTATAGCAGTCAGTTCACAAGAGCTAAGCTCTGGAAGCAGCCTGAATGCCCACTGACAGGTGAACAGATCAATAAAATGTGGTGTATATCCACAGTGGAATATTACCCACCCTTGTAAATCAGAATGAACTGTTGGCTTGCCAGCCCTCCCCATCTGACTGATTTGAGTCAATTCCCAGGGTTGAAGCAGATCTGAGGCTTTGAAGCCTGCAGCCCAGAAGCCCTGGGTGCTTCCCAGCCAGAGAAGAGTGCTCTAGAGTGTGGCTGTGTCTGTGGGGCAGAATCTGGGCTTCTTGTACCTAGAGCACCATTTCCTCTTGGCTTATCCCATCCGCTCTGTGGGAGGACACATCCACCTACTGCGTTTTCCATTCTCTCCCTTCCTCTCTTCCTGGAGACCAGCTGTGTGGGTTTTTGGGGGAGGTAGCAACAGGAAAATGTAGCAACAGTCACTCTCTAGGGGTGAGACCTGGAACAAAGAGCCACCACAGCTGACACCCCCCCACCCCAGCTACAGCCCCCAGTTCTTTGCAAGCCTTGTCTAGAGTCAGGTGCTTGTGACTCCTTTGCCTGCTCTCCTGTTTGGGCCCTTTTCCGAGACAAGCAGCCTGGCTATGTGGGCTCCATGGCAGTTAAAGGGTAGATGAAGAGGGAAATGGAGTTGTCATTTCAGGGGCACCAGGAGAATTTGGGATGGGGAAGGAGCCCTAGGAAGGGTGATACAGTGACCGGCGAGGGCTGTCACATGGATTTAATGTCCATCTGCAAACATTTCTAGGTCTTTGATTCTGAAAATATATCTCAAGATTTGTTTCAAGGGTTTTTCCAAAGTGTGGAAAGTAAGAAGTCTCATTCATTGATTTGCACCAAAGACTGTGGTGTCACCGAAGTCGAGGGAGGGAGGGCTGTGAGAAAGGGGCCTCACAGGTGGGGTGGCTGAGAGCCATGGAGTGGAGCTGTGTGTGTGTTTACACGTGTGCGCACATAGGTGTGCTTTTGTATGCATGGCCAATGAAGAGGTTAGAATCCTGGATGTCACCTTGCTGGAAAGATCCAACAAGCATCAGGAAGCACAGGGAGTCATTTGCCCCTGTGAGGACAGAAACAAGATTTGACAGACTCACCCAGTGAGAAGCCCCAGGTTGAGCAGGAAGGGGGGTCATAGTAGAATCAGGGGAGCCCACATGTAGAGGGTGTCGCGGGGAAGGAACCTGAGCTGATGGCTGCGGACCCAGGGCCTTCAGCCTACTGGTTGGCAGGGTGTCTACTGAGACTGGCCCGGGGCCCAGGCCAGCCTAGATTAAGCATTTTTAATGTCAACAAGGCAAAGTGTGGACAGTTTGCTCTGTGAACTGAACCACATGCTAATACCACCACTCACCAAAGGACTCGGATCCATTATCACATAATGAATGAATGATGAATAAATGATTAAACAGCACTATATTTGTGGCAGAAACTTTTTCAACTTTCTGGTGGTTTGGTGAAAGTTAGCCATTTCATGCAAAACTCTGAGAAAATAAGTTGGATTTTTCTTTTTAAGATGGCTATGGACATCCTACCCTGTGTGTAAGATACCTTATTTCTGGCCCAGAAGCTTTGGTTACAAGGACTCTTTACTAGCTTTGAATACTCTAAAGCTGATGGACCCTGATTAAGGACCTCTGATTTGGTTTCATATAGGAAAGTTTATAAAGAGATGTTGGTTTAGTTTTTTAAACTCTCCATAAGTAATTTAAGTGATATTGCTGAGTTTTTTAGCACCCAAATGAGAGGTCTTTTGTGTACTAAGTGTTTATATGTTATTTCTGTTTGACTATGATATATGGCCAAATGACAATATGTAGTAGGTAATCCCCTACTTGCCTGAAATTCTCAGAATTTGAGTCATTTTAAAAATCACTAGGTAGCATTTGGCTGTGCACTTTTTAATGATTGCAGTCTTTATTTCTGTTGAGTGGCAAATGGGATAAAGAGACATTTTAGTTTTCATGCACAAATAGGATTTTAGATACTAGGTCAGAAATTCAAA